TGTGTTTCTTTCACTGGCCTTTTTTGGCCTTTTGACACTGCTTCCAAGGCCAGGACACATTTATTTCACTGACTCTGATTCTAGGGACCAAGATTGTTTCTTTGGTACTAGTTTCAGAGTCAGGGCATGTTTCCTTGGTTCTGGGTTTGGGGATAAAGTGTTCACTTCTCTGGCTCAGGTCCCAAACCCAGGCTGTGTTTCTTTCCATGGTCCTGGGCCCCAGGGCCAGGGTTCTACCTTCCTGCTCTATGATTGGTTGGTTTCACAAGTCAGTTGGCCAGGGGCAGAGATAGCTCTGATCTGAGCCAAACTGTGTTTCTTTCACTGGCACATTTCTTTTGCTGACTTTGATTCTAGGAACCAAAAGTGTTTCTTTGGTACTTGTTTCAGAGTCAGGGCATATTTCCTTGGTTCTGGGTTTGGGGATAAAGTGTTCATTTCTCTGGCTCAGGTCCCTAACCCAGGCTGTATTTCTTTTCTTGGTCCTGGGCCCCAGGACTAGGGTGCTACTGTCCTGCTCTGTGATTGGTTGGTTTCACAAGTCAGTTTGCCAGGGGCAGAGATGGCTCTGATTTAAGCCAAACTGTTTCACTGGCCTTATCTGAGCCATCTTTCCCTAGTTCTGGGCTCCAGGGTCAGGGTGGATTTCTTTAGTCAGCCCCTTTTCCCTACACTTACCTCTATGAAATCCTTAGCAGAAAGAGGGAGATCCTGTCTCTATGAATCCTGAGACTAAATGCCATGCTATCCTGTCTCCTCCTGCCTTATATTCCTCTCTCTGCCCAGCCATATTGCTTCCTGTCTCCACCTTCCTTGTACTGGGATTGAAGGCGTGAGATCCCAAGTGCTGGGATCAAAGGTGAATGCCACTACTGCCTGGCTCTGTTTCTCTTTTAGACTGGATCAGCTTTGTGTAGCCCAGGGTAGCCTTGAACATCACAGAGATCCTTCTGCCTTTGCCTCCCCTAGTGCTGAGATTAAAGGTGTGTACCACTACTGCCTGGCCTCTATGGCTAACTGGTGGCTTAGCTCTTCTCTCTGATCTTCAGGCAAGTTTTATTTGTTAGATC